TCAATACTTTTTCGAACTTCCAAAGGAAAAAAGCCATCAGTTTCACTCATTTCTGATCATACAGTGTCAAATTGATGGATTAGTTATTCAATACCTACTGAAAAGTGAATAAAACATATTTCACTATATCATTCGATCAATGCAGGGCTTAAAATTGTTGATGAATTTTTACACGAATTACTTTAACAACTCAACTTTTACAATACCTACAGAGACATTCATAACAAATTATCAAAATGATAACCATTATTTTCTGAACAAAGATATCCTCTTCTCACAGTTGCTTCTAAGACATTGCTAAGCATTTCTGGGGTTATTCTATGGAATGCTTCGAAGACACTGTCCCTTAGTTCTTCTTCATCATCAAAGTTATTTGCTTATACAAAGTTTGATATATTCTCTAAGAAAAAATCCAGCTGTGTCAAATCAGGTGACCGCACCGGCCAAGGGACTGTAGAATGAGTACCAATCCATTTTTCTGGATAAAACCGCACGGACTTTTCTGGAATTATGTACGGGCGCGCCATCTTGTTGAAACTAACAGTTCTGAACTTCCGCAATCGGTAAATCATCCAGAGCTTCCTCAAGATGATTCTCAAGCAAATTTCTATAACGTTCGGAAGTCTGTGTTTCATAGTGAATAGAAGGACCAATAATTCGTGTACCAAATATTGCAACCCACATATTAAAGCCGAAACGGTGTTGGTGTCTCACTGTAATGTACAAATGTTCATTTTCTCGTAAACAATAATGTGTAATTTTTCTATCGAAGATACCATGATTAGTGACCATGCTTTCATCAGTCCAGATGATTGTTCGAGGGAAATCTGCGAAATTTTGACATTTCCTGGTATACCACTCACAGAATGTCCTGCGCCTTTCGTCATCGCTTGGTTTTAGCGCTTGACATATTCTGAATTTGTATGGATGGAATTTTTGTTTCCTTAAAATGAAATGGGTTGTTGATTTGAACCAGTTGATGAGGTATTAGTGTGTTGATTTCCTTCAAAATAAGTGGAACTGATGGCATTTTCCCTTTGGAATTTCGAAAAAACATTGATGATGGCTAAAAGTAGGTCGAAACACACATAAACCACCTTGTATAATACATGGTTGAATTCAGAATAAAAAAACCTTTCAGAATCTATGAAAAATTATCAGGACCGCTTCCAAAAAACAAAAGTTGATGATGGTTCCACGAATACGAAACGTCGCATACAAAAATCAGTATCACCACGTTGGACGTCATCAAAAGTTGCTATGAAAAAATATTCTCAGTTTTGCTGTATCTCTCATAATAACGAAGAAAAAAAATAAAATAGATATTCCAAAAATTCACTTTTTTCGATATAACTCAAAAACTAAAAATAATTTCGAGAATTTTCGAAGGCTCTAGAATATGAGCCTCCGAATGCGCAACTTTTTCTCCATTTGAACGACTTCGTATCTCCTACCGTTTCCGAGATCCCCATGCTGTTCAACAGACTGTACATATAAGACTTTTTTATAATAATGTGTCCTAAAATGCACCCCCTCCGAAAAAAACCAAGTATATCTCAAATTATGATGATAATAACGGATCAAGTGCAAGTATTTCCAGTACAGCACGCTTCTGAAATAGTAATCTCAAATGCGTTCCGATCACCTCCGTATGCAAGCATTTAACCCACTGCGTGCGAGAACGATGTCGTGACTTCTTCGCCTCTCGTTGATTACGATTTTCTGGCAAACGGTTAGTTGTTTGAAAAAAAAAGCAGGAAACCAAATTCTTGCATTTTTTATGGCCCACAAGATCATGTTATTCAGAAGTATGGACCTCCCTCCAACTCCCCCAAAACTGGGTTCACATCAATTTTGAAGCAAGAAGAGGAAATAAAGTTTCTAAAAAGACAGGGCTATGCCAATTTTCAAAAGATTTGGTCCGTTAGTTTAGTCACAGTTTCAGATAGGTAATGTTTTTTTTACCCAACTTACAGTGGATGTAGGCCGGCGTTAATTTTAGAGTACATATTTATATGGAGGAAACGTCGTATTGTGATCCCGACAATATGTCTTTAAGATATTCACACCGGGTTTTGAATCACCCTGTATAGCACACAATCACCTAAGGATATCCTTCAAATGTCTCCATTAGCCTCGAGAGAACGTCCTATTTCCTCCATCCTAATGACGTAATTAGGCTGAAAATGTCCATCAATATTGTCCTGAATTAGAAGCCTTGAGAAGAGCATGATTACATTCTATGTGCGAACCTAGGGACATACTCAAACTGTCATCAAAACTTCAAGAGAACATCTTATTTCCTTTATTCCAATCACGTTAGTAGGGAGCAAATTATTTTCACTTATAATGTCCTGATTTAGAAGACCTGAGAATAGCTTGAGTACATTTCAATTTGCGAACCTATAGGGACATCCTGAAAATGTCGCCAATAGCTTCGTTGTTTACATATATTACTCAAAAAAAAAAAGATGTTTCTTACAGAATTACTTAAGTAATAATATGTATTTGATATCAACTCTTTCAAGTTAATACGGTATACCGTAATTTAATGTAGATATTGTGCCTAATTTCCGAAACACATATATCATACACTATTTTTTCTACAAATACCATTAAAAGTTCAAATTAACGCCTAACTATTTCACATTATTTATTAATTGATTAAATAACAGCCCCGAGATTATCAGTTTTGAATCCAATTCAATCTAATCTATTCATGAAACAACCACGGTAAACAAAAACTGAATTTGTTCATCTTGACAACTAACTTCAATAAATCACGAATTATTCTTTCTCGTTTCTTCGTTCCTGGATGGAGAGTGCCCAAGAAAATGAATTTCTTCCGCCGCAAATTGAAGAAGCTGCCAATAAAACTGTTTTTGAATTATTGCCTAGTAAGTCAAAGCGACAGTACGAGTTTTCATACGAACTTTTCTTGAAATGGTGTGATCAGAAAAATGTCAGTGGAAAGGAAGCCGGCGAAAAAGTGCTTCTTGCATACTTTGAAGAAAAGTCCAAAATATGGAAATCGCCAACGTTTTGGTCGAATTACTCTATGTTAAAGTCGATGATGAACATAAATGATCATGACATTAGCAGATATCACTAGCTTGTGGCTTTTTTAAAGCGAAAGGGTGAAAGATATCGACCGAAAAAGTCGAAAGTATTGACATTAGAACAAATCGACAAATTTCTCGCAGAAGCCCCAGATGAAATGTATCTAATGCAGAAAGTTGCTGTGATTTTTGGTGTTTTTGGAGCCTGTCGTCGAGAAAAACTGTGCGATTTGACATCAAATAATATCGAGGATTCCGGAACTTCACTAGTTGTGTATATACCAGACACAAAAACTAATGTGCAACGCACCTTTGTTGTAAGTGGTACATTGTATATGAACTACTACAAAAAGTACATAGCCCTTCGTCCAGTGGATATCAATCATTCTAGAGTTTTTATAAAATGCATTAAACATAAATTTGACAGGACTCCAGTTGGAATCTGCACATTTGGTGAGATGCCTGCCAAAATTGCCGAATTTCTTAATTTGCCTGATTCCCATCTATATACTGGACATTTTTTCCGACGTTCCTCAGCTAGTTTGTTGGCGGACTCTGCTAGCACTAGTGCTAAAAGTGATTTACTTTCAACACCAGTGTCATAAACTGACATTTTAGACACTGACAGCATGCATCAAAAATTATACTTTAACTGACGTTTGTAGAAAAACATATTTTTTCACATTTCCCAAAACATTTCAAATAATGCCGAATTTGATCTATTTCATTTGCATTTAGTTTATCTGAAATAAAAGTGATATTCTCTCATTCTAAACTAACTGACACAATTCACTTGAACTGAACTGAATCATGCATTGTACATAATGAACGTCATTCGAAAGAACGATTCAGTTCACTTCTAGTGGAATATTTCAGTTATTTCAGATTGGGAGAATATTACAAAAACTTTTCATGAACTCCGAATCGGACATCGCACTTTTCCTATATGATATTGGCTGATCACTTTTTCATTTCAATTCCAACAATATACACTGATGAATATGTATATGAAAACCAGAAAGTTGAAAAATTTCCATTTTATCGAAAAATAAATAAGTGCTTGTAGCTGTCAACTTTCTCAATCCAATTATGACTCTGTATATCCTGCAACTCTCCGGGACCCTTCCTCCAAGAATAAAATGATCACATCACCTCATTTCAACCAAATAATACGAGGTGGCAAAAGAGAGCCTCTATAGTAGATATAAATTATGCAGTCAACTCCAGTCATGAATCACCATGTATATATACAATCAAAACATTTTATGATTCCATTTGAAGTGGAAAGAACAAACTTGGCTATAATTTTCATTTAGTTATTGTTATCAATATGTTCCATGTTATTGAAATATTCAAAAAACACAATAATTGAATTGTGGATCACCCTGTAATGATCGGTTTTAGTCGAATCCCTAATCCCGATGTGGCTGTTGTACCCAAAGGTAGAATCGAAAAGTGCCTTCAGAAGATTCGGACGTATTTTTTTGTCCTTTCTCAGAGCCATGAGCCTGGAAAAAGAAGTTATTTCCCTATTTTAACACCCTTGGTCTCAAAAACTACAGTCATAGGATTGAATTGAGACATTTTGTATTTGAAGAGTGAATTGAGTACAATAATTAATATACCAGAAAAAACATTTGAAATGCAATAAGACCCAATTTGCGTGGACCATAAAAAATAACATGAACTGCGTCTTCGAAATGGGTGATATACCCGAAGCGTAGAGTTGTCCCAGTTGTCAGCAGACCGAGAGCGGCTGATGAGACCTGGTGGGTCGAAACAGTACTGTCTCGCTCCTGCTGACAATTGGGGCAACTCTGTTCATCCTAGATCTCTTAGTTATGAAATCTAGCACATAAAAAATAAGTCTTATGATGTGTAACTGTTCCTGATAGTTTCCACTACATACTCATTTCATTGCAATCATTGTATTTTCTTCAGTTAATTCTACGGATAAATTTGGCCTACACCTGAAGCAGTTACTAGGAGAAGCCGAAATGCGTCTCCAGGAGCTTGGTGGCTACCTCGATGAACCTTGTGGTGCACTCCCAAACAACAGAGCTTCTTTCTCTAGCATTATCGGCAATGCCTATCCAACTACTTCTGTAACAGGTAATCATTTTTCCAATATACACATAGTAGTAAACATTAGTCATGAAGATACTACAGCTAAACCGAGAGATCACAGTTGAATAATTTTGTGAAGTATCGAAATGTGCTTGAGTTGAAGTCATGAACGCGTAACCACCAGCAGACCGATTTCAGGCTATTGTCCCTCATAAGTGCAGGACAGCATCCGTTCTCGGAGAAATTTCCTATATTGAGGTTTTTATCCCACTGTGAAGTTTGTAAAAAATTGATATATACGTATTTTTTCTTTTCTTCGTAAGATCACATTTCACTTCAGAAAATAATAAATAGAAGAGGAGCTTGGCTCCTCCACCATTCCTGTGACGTACTTTCTGAAAATCCACATTTACACAGAATTGAAATACAATTCCTTGTGCCAGTACGACGTTGCCGACATCATTGAAAATATGTCTAGATTTTCGGAAATTGTTCTTTGAATGCATAATAACTATATCATAAGAGCAATGGCACATAATATAGGTTCTTCAATCCTACTTTGTGAAGCATTATGAATAATTCCCATAAATCTCTCATCGGCTGAATGAAGTTGATTACTAATAAAGAAAAATTATGATATTTTGCGATAGTATCTATTATTTTTCACTACCGTTATATTACAATATGTTATTCATAACATGTCAGTAATTTTTTTGCTAATCTTCTTTCTTTGATAAAACGGATATATTTTCTAGGAAAGTTGCATATTATATATCTTGCAACAGCGCCTAATACTTCGAGTCCGTCCACATCACGCCAAATACTGACAGGCACAACGAGAGAAAGGAGCCATGGGTGTCGGCTTCATTTTGTTCTGACGGATTGCAGTAAATTAGGAATGATTGTATCATTGATTGTAGTCGATAGTGATTCATTGATTTAATGATATTTTCGTTTAGGATCGAGCTCTATTCGAGATATTTCAATGCATGAATAACAAAACCATATCCTGTCAGAATGAAGCCAACTACCTTCTGCATTCCTGCTCTGAATGCATTTGTGGTTATGTTTGTTTCTGTTAACCGGTTTCACTTCTTCTATTTTTTTCAATCGTTTTTCATTCGTTAGCTATTTGCTAGCTATATTCTTCAAATCTTCACCATCAGCTGTTTTCAGACTGGATTCAGAATGTACGTCACTGTTTGCCGCCCCGAAAATTGTTTTAATTTGAAAATGAAAACGGTTTGGACTTTATCGGTCGCCATTCTGTACAGCGTTGACATAAAACTAGAGAGTTCCGAACCTATTTTATGGAAATTCATCTGAAGGAAACTTCCCCAGCGTTATTTATTCGGATGTTTTTCAGGTTGTGCTGGTGGAGATAACGAAAAACAAGCGCTAGTTTGGGAAAGGAGAGCGAAAGCCCTGAGGAGACTGGTGCTAGGATTCGCTCAAGCTAGACCGCCTGATCCTCCATCTCTGGTCGCCTTGGATTTGACTTCTTCCTCCACGGTAGCAGTACGCTTGCAAGAAGCTACTTCCATCGATTCGTCGATCACCACCAAATTCAGAGGTGAGTAGTTATCTTCGAATACGCAACTACCAATCGATTTTCCACACCCTATATCTCGGTAATGATTCCCGTTAGACCCCAAGTGTGCTTGATCGTTGAGTTCAGCTCTTCAGAGAGAATATAGAAATGCAATAAAATACAGGGTGTTCCATTTGAAAAAACATAAGTTTGATATGTCACACTTTTTTGAGACACACTGTATAATGGAAGATAATTTGGATTATGCATCTCATGGACCTACAACTCCTGTAGAAATTGTGTTTTTCCATCTCTGATACCAGAGCTGCAATCTCGCTTTGTCACACTATTGGTCCACCCTGTATACCTTCCTACCAATATTGCTTTAGTATGGAGCAAGAATATATTCAATGTTTTTTAAACTATGTTCTTGTTTCAGTGCAATGGTCTACTAGAGCTGACTTCTCTGTAATAACAGGAGAAAAAGACGTGATAGAAATAACGAATCCCTATTGCCGAATAGAGCTGACACAGGGAAGGAGGTATTTCTTTCGAGCTGCCTGCGGTAATTTGAAAGGATACGGCCTTTTCGTCACCTCTACTCCAACTTCAGTCGTTCCCTCTACCTGGAGAGAAGTCCAACAGAAAGAGCAAAGGTATAGTGGATCTGTCCCAATGAGCACAGTGACGTTGAAAAAACGTTGCTGAATGGTTTGAAACTGAACGTTAATAAGGGGTATTTCTCAAACGTTGATTCAACGTAAGAATGTCGCACGATAAAAACTTTTTTCAACCAAATTACCTACTAGAAATAAACGTATTTCGAGAACGTTCAACTCGAGTATCAACGTGACATAAACGTAATGTTTCGACGTTTCATAATTGTCGAAAACAAAGGTTTATCCAACGTTTAACTGACGTTCAAAAATGACGATTTGAACAAGTTGATGAAATATGATTTTTCAACGTTCACCTCGGATCAATTTTCAATCGTCGAATTTTCAGTTTTTCGAACGTCACTCAAGCGTTTCAGATAGATTACTTTTCGTTATTTTTGTGTCCACAATAAATTCATTATCATTTTCATAATTATTGCCATTATTATTATTATTATAACTCACTAACCTGCTATTTGTCCATGTAATGCCTTTTCGTTCCACTTCCTTCTTAGTGACGTACCTATCTTCACGTACCCCTATTCAAATTTGTTCGACTACTCGTATTTGTACCTAAACTCTTGGTGTGAGCGTCGGCGAGATGTACACGGAATGAATACACGTTGTCTAATGACGATCATCTAACGTTGTTAGAAAACATATATTACACGCTTTTTTTTCTACCAACCGTTATCAGATACTTTCAGAAAAACGTTCAAGTAACTTTCATTTCAAGAGTTCAATAAACGTTTTGGGTAAACGTTAGTTCACCGTGAGAAGTTTGCCGGATCGATGAAAAGTAGTTTTGTATCCATGTGAAACACACGTTTTTAAATGATGGATGATATAGAATATAGTTCAACGACAACTTATAATACACGTTGACGAATAACAGTTGAAAAACGTTGTTGAGAACGTTTCATTCACGTTCTTCTTCCACTCTCGGTCAGAAAATGTTGACAGATTAGCGTTACAGAAATGTTTATTTCGAACGTCTAACTAACGTTTCAGAGAAACGTTTTATAAATACATAATTTCAAAAGATCGTCAGGACATATCGTTTTCAATTCGTTCATGAAACGTTTAGATTTAACTTCATTCCAAGAGTTCGACGAACGTTTGGTACAAACGTTAGTTTTCCTCAAACAGTCCAACTATGATATAGAATATAGTTTAACGACAACTTATATTACACGTTGGCGAACAACAGATGAAACGTGTTTCGGAGAAACGTTTTATAAATGCATAATTTCAACAGATCGTCATGACATATAGTTTTCAATACGTTTATAAAACGTTCCGATTTAACTTCAAATATTTCAACCATATTTCAACGTCGAATTTCTCAACCATAAATGTCTATCTAACTTGTTCTGCGTTGATAATACGTTGGAAAACGCACGTGTGCCCATTGGAGTGTATAACAAGGAATCAACTAAACTTTCGCACTGATTTATTTCCACTCTGTTTGACAGTAATGTTCAATCACCCATTGATGCTTCCAGGTTTCATGGTAAACTCAAGAAATTAGATCAGCTGATGGGAGAGGTGCGACAATTCAGACCTGGTAGTGAAATTTTGGAAATGCAGGGTCCTCAAAGACGAGCTCAACGAAAAAAGACAACAATCAAACAGTTATTCACAGCTGCTAGCAAGTTCCAGAAGAACCTGAGAAGGTATTTCATATCATATTATATCTTAGAGATAAGTATCTCTTTATTAGAGTACCTACTAGTCGAATAGTTACTTCCGCTTAGCTCCAAAAATCTTAGATAAATTATCATATATCTTCAATTTCCTCGAACGTTTCAGAACCGAACACTTTTCAATATTTTGAAATCTGGAACATCCTCGAACCATCTGAAAGATTCTTCAACATTCTGAAAGATTCTCAAATAATAGAAAAATATCAAGAATATTTCAGAACATTGTTCTGAAAAATTCTATCTTATTCTTAATATCCTCGTATTTGCTGAATATTTTGAAGTATTCTAGAAAATCCTGGAACATTCTAGAACGTTTCCAGACCCCCTAGACAATTCTATAATACTAGTATATTATAAGGACCCTTCTGAAAGATTCTATGATATTATGTATATTTCGAGAATATTTTGAAATAGTCTCGGACCTGCTGAAAGATTATTCAACATTTTAGAACATCCTCGAATCATCTGGTAAATGTCATTCTGGAATATTTTCGAACATTATGGGAATTTAAGGAAGAATTTTGAACATTCTCTTCATCTGACAGATTTTATAACATTCCTGGATCTGCTAGAAGATTTTAAATCAATCTAGCACATTATAAAACGTTTCCGGAAACTTTGGTAGATTCTATGACACTCAAAAAACTTAATTGAAGCTTCTGAAAGATTCTATAATATTCTGGAAGATTCTTGAACGTTATGGCAATTTCGAGAATATTCTTGCGAACATGCTCGGTCCTTCTGAAAGATTCTATTACATTCTTGGGCCTGCTATTTAACGTTATGGTACATACTCTCGAACCATCTAGAACATTCTGAAATACTGTGCAATATTCTCGGACCTGCTATAACATCCTTGAAGATTCTAGGAAGATTCTTAAAATATTCTACAACATTCAGGAGCATTCTGCCTGGGCAACTTTGGCACCCATATCTCAGAATTCAACCCCGCAGTTGCAAACCGAAACCTTTTCTATAGATGGGAAATAGAAGGCTACCATACCACATAATACCCATGGGGCTGTAGGGTAGTGTTTGGGAATAATGGCGGTCGATACAACAAATCAGGAGGATCCTATATACAGGGTGCATCTAAATAACACCGGAAAAATTCAAGGGGCGATTCCTTGTGATATTTTAGAAAATAAAATTCATATAAAATGTCTCCTAACTTGCTTCGTTTTTGAGATACAGGGTATTAATATTTCCATGAAAAATATTTTTTTCTATTCATTTGTCAATTATCGTTTCATCAATTTCAATAAAACGTTGTTGTTTTGTTAATAGTTTGGCCCCAAATTTCAATGTGAGTGTTTTCAAGACTCCCATTGAGATTACTCATAAAACCAATTGGGATCATTTTGAAATTCTGGGGATTTCTCAGTCTCTATCCATACTGAATTTTGGCACCATGAAAGATTATACAGGGGAGTTTTATTATAAATGAAAAAATAATACTTTCAACTTCAACATCCTGTATTTCAAAAACGGTGCAAGTTAGGATCCATGTTTATGTGAACTTCATTTGCTAGAATGTCACAAGGAATTCCCCTTGAATTTTTCGGTGTTATTTAGATACACCCTGTAGATGTCCAACTAATACTCATATATACAGGGTGTTCCTTGAAGACATGCTAATATTCGAGGGAGTGATTCTTTGACTCATTTCAAGAAGAAAACTTCATATGAATGTCCTGAAAGTCTTAACTTTTGAGATACATGGTGATGAAGTTTTGAAAAATATTCAGTTTTTTGATAATAACTGAGACAATATTGTATACATCTTCATGTGATTTGGTACACGTGTGTTATGCATCAAAGTGCATTTTCTGGTGTACAAATATTTTCATTTTCTCTCCCAGGGGACCAAGCTACAATGGGTGAGGATTATATTAGCCTTTCGTCTTAGTACCAATCAGAAAAATATCTCTGAAGTTTGGCCACATATCCTATATCAACATTCTGTACAGAACGATTATTTTTTCGCAGAGGCATCCACTTGGCGTGCGTCCTCTACCACGAAGACAAAGTCCTAGTGACCAACGAAGACTTCCTGCCCGTGATAGAAATAGACGAGGCTTTTCCCAGCTCCCTCTACCCGGACCTCTACTGGTTCATGAAGGTCGCCTGCTCCTGGGACGACACCAAGACCTTGCGGAGCGACATGGAGAAGAACACCTCTTCGGGCATCCACTTCCGCTCCAAGCTGCTGTCCGCCGTGCTGCAGATGCAGTCGTCGCTGTGTCTGCAGGACCTCGGCCAGGTTTACTACAAGCCGTTGAAGGACGCCCATGGGACGGTGGTGATCAGCACCATTAACTACGTCAAGGCGCCCAAGAGCGTGTCGGTTTTGAATTCCAGGTGGCTGCCGATGAACAAGGTAAGTGGTTTATGGATGTATGACAAATTTATATTCAACATACAGGACGTGGAAAGAAATTCTGAATTGAGAAATCCTAATCACGAATCTGCGATTGAGGTCTATAAATAGTTATTTATTATACAAGGGAAAGAAGTACTAGATTTTAGCTCCAGGTTGTGTTGTCTAGCTAAAATCTGATATTTTTCCCGTGTATAATACTCTATTTTTTCTGTGACAGAAGAGAGGACGAATCAATATTGAGAAAATATTACATTATTTCGATATCTGAAAATTATCGACGTGAAATTTTAAGTTTTTAACAGTAGGGACACCTGCGATGTAGGCATCTTTATCATTCTTTTGAAGTAATCAAATATCTGATGTCACTGCTGTCAGTCTGATTCTGTGATTTGATTTAAAAAAATTGCGAAGTTAGTGGTTGTTTAGTAATATACGTAGGTAACCGCGAAGTCGAATGGAAGATAAAAGGACTTGCAGTTCTTTCTCGGAGACGGTATTATTGACTCATTCCGGGAAAAAGTACTCACTTTTTTTCCACAGGAAAAAAGTAATTTATGAAAAGTGACATTTTAGAACCTGCCAACAGAGATGAAATGCCAAACTTTTTTCCCGTCACAGAAAAAAATTACAAGTTTTCATCGTTCAAGTTTGAACCCCTTGATTGGGTGCAAGTATTGAAAAGGAATATTCTCAGATATAATTATGAACATAAAAAATTGGATATATATTCTTTATACAGGGTGTCCGCTAAAAGGAGATCAATCCATTAAACACACATTCCTTGAACAAAAACAATATGAGTTTCTAAATACCATTTTTCATTTTAGCCCTCCATATTCGATATACAGGGTGTCAAAGTTGGAAATTAAAAACTGTTTTTTTCTAATTACTCGCGTATTTGATGAGATATTGATCTCAAAATTGGTACATTACTTCAGCACAAAGAGTTACATCGTGTGAGGGCAACAACAGAAAATAACTGTCAAATATTCAAAATACTGGGGGTCAAGTAAACTCTTACCCCCATATTTTTTTTGTACGTGCGCTAATGACTTCCAATCTATTCTCCTTCAAGTGTTCAATCATTTTTGAGTATTTTTTGTGTCTTGTGAAATTTCGATTAAATCATTTGTTTTTAAGATAATTCGAGAAGTACTGTATTGTTTGATGCCTATGCGGCTTACGATAATCTCATAATGTTCACATACTCCTATTTATTTCATCGAAATTGGAAGAGGGCGTATCTTTTCACGTACGAAAAGGTAAATATAGAAATACCGGGTGCTCAGAGCAAATGTACTGAAATAATTTTTACAAAAAAAATTAAAATAAAAATTATTGAGGTAGGCTTCTGAAATTTGCCGGAGGAAGAGAAAGTCCAAAGATAAAGTCAATTACGTGAGATACGGGGGTGCTTCCATAAAAAATGCGACAAAATTTCATTTTTCCGAACTGAAAATTTTCCAGGAAAAATTTGAATAGTTAGTACATTGGGCGTCCTGATTCCAAATCTGAAGTGATTTTCGACCTATTTTGACTCCTAACATCATTTTCCGGAAATTGGGGTAGTTTCATGGCTGTTGGCGAGCAGTGTATATCACTGAAGATGACCCCACTTGGTCATAGAGTGCATTTTTGGTATATCTCTCGCTCCAACAAATTTCAGGATCCTTACCCAACGATTACGTAAGATACAGGGGTGGTTCCATTAGAAGTGGGTCACACTGTATGTATATCCATTTTTTTTTGTTCATAATTATATCTGAGAATATTCCTTTTTAATGAAAGTGTGTTCAAAAATCAAAATCTCACAAATTGAGTAGATTATCGGCAAATATTTGGTAATATTTTAGTAGTTAATCAATATCTTGGAGTAGCGTGTTCACCGGGTACTTACTCTTCTAACAAAGGTGTTCAAGAAACTGGTGCTGAGCGATGATCACAACATCTCGGAAATCCTAATGGCCAGCATCCAGGAGCAGATCAACTACCACCAGGTGTCCAGCTTGAGGCTGGGCAGAGGCCTGTATCTGGCCTATCTGAAGATGCAGAGCTCCATGGACCTGATACAGGTGGTGGTGTCTGCCAAATCGCCGAATATGCTGCCGCATTGCAAGATCAGGGATAATCCGCATGTGTCTGCGTGAGTAAACATTGCTGCTATTATCATTATTCTAGTCCAATAAAGTAGTATTTGCATCTGAAGTTTGCATCAATATTTCTTGGAGCTTTCCGAGATGTCCGCGAGGAACAGCAAAATTTTCGCACTTTCTCCAGTTTTTTCCCGGAACTTCATTGGGAACTATTATTTTATCGAAAAGACCAAGCCATAGACAGTTGAAATGAATAACATTTTTTATACACAGTGTGTTACAATTCAGTTCAACCCATCCTTCTACTTATTCCTAGGGCGATTTGGAAATATTTTCTTCTCATAATATATGACTCAAAATTATCTACTTCATCAATTACATTTTTTGAATTGACTCGGCCGTTACTCGATGGAAATCCATGGCAAATGTAAGAACTTCACAAACGATAAGATTTCTAAAAAATTCTCAAACACACGACATATGTTTCGCTAGCACAGTAGCTTCGTCAGGTGATATACTGGTACGATGAACTAAACTAACATTGGCTTGCTTTATAAAGGGTCTTTGGACCGGTCGAAGTTGACAGTGTGTGGCGGCCAAGTTTTTTTGGGAGCATCTGTCAAATCTGTTGTATTTCATTCAGTCACTGATGCCAAATTACCATGGCAAGTTACACGATCGAGTAGCATGTCCAAATGATTGAACTTTATTATCAAAATGAGTGTTCGATAGTACAAACGTTGCGCGCATTGTGCCCATTTTACGGCAGACGCGGTGGCCCTTCAAAGTCGACTCTCCAAAGTTTGGTAGCCAAATTCGAGACAACCGGTTCGGTAAACAAACAACCAACACCCTTACGTCAGAGGAACGCCAGATCGGCCGATAATATCGACGCTGTCCGTCAGAGTGTGCAGGAGACTCCGAGGCAGTCGATTTCTCGCCGTGCACAAGAACTCGGCCTTTCGCAGACTTCGACTTGGAGAATTTTGCGCCGGGACTTGGGCCTGCACCCGTACAAGATCCAACTGACCTAGCAGTGGGCTTCGAAATGTTTGGAAGAGGACTCCAATTTTGGCCGAAAAATAATCTTTAGCGACGATGCCCATTTTTAGATGAATGGTTTTGTTAATAAGCAAAATTGCCGTATATGGAATGAACACAACCCACAGGGGGTTCAGCAGGTGGCAATGCATCCACAAAGAGTTACTGTTTGGTGCGGATTTTGGTCCGGCAGCGTCATTGGTCCGAACTTCTTTGAAAATGACGTTGGCGAGATCATCACCGTCAACGGCGAGCGCTACAGATCAATGATTTACAATTCCTTTTGACCTGAATTCAACGATATGGACGTGGACATCATGTGGTTCCAGCACGACGGCGCAACGTGCCACACAGCGAACGATACAATGGACATTCTGCACGATCGGTTTGAGGGTAGGGTTATCTTTCGCAGAGGTGATGTGAATTGGCCGTCAAGATCGTGCGATTTGACTCCACTAGACTTTTTCTTGTGGGCTTTTCTGAATAAGAATAATAGCAAAAATGGGCCTTTCAAATGAAATAAAATAATCGTTAATATCTGACACACAGCTTGTTTTATTCAATTACAGCATCGACCGGTCCTTGTTGAAAGACCATTTATATCCTACTTTCCCAAACTGAAGGATTAGTTACCTATGGACAGGTTCGATAAACCTCCATTTTCGGAAATGAGGCACAATATCTACATTGAAATACGGTGTACCGGATTAACTTGAAAGGGTTGAATACATATTTATTACTTACTAAGAAAACAAATTCAACAGTGGTGAACTATTGATCGATAAGTAAAATGTCAGAATTTTTGAGTTGTTGATTTCTAATGATTCAAAATGATTGAGTTGCTGTTTTAACGTTTTTTTGTATATAAGAGTATGTACACTACACAAGCAGTGACAATCAAACATAACTACAAACGATTTTGAAGCAAATCATATGCTTTGCCAGGACAAGAATATGTTTTTCACTCAGATAAAGGATCCTTCCTTCATTAGTCCTGGGAAGAACACATCCATATATCTTTATCTGTCTTCAATTTTTGTATGGGAGTGCATAGCGTCTCCTCGAGTGGGTAAAAGGGTATGATAAATTGATTAGAAAATTATTTCTTCTCGAAATATTGAATGATAAGGCTGAAGGACCTCAATGGAGGTCGATATCAAGTTGGTATGTACTTATATACCAACTAAATACATATACTATTCCTATGAAATAAGTCTCAGTACGTTTAGTATATCACAAAAGTTCAGAATGGGGTAAAAACTTGTAAATTTTAACAAATGAAACATACTTTTATTTCGTATGGAACAATTTCATTTGTACAAGAACAGTAGGTAATAAGTAATGAATAAATAAGCAAATGATATGGCAACAATAAAAGCTGATTATAGTTAGGATTAATAATAAAGGTTCTCCAAGACATACGGAAGTAGGTATAAATGGACTTCAGCGCTCGACTCACTATAGATCGCCGTTCACATTGCTAAAGGGGATTGTTGGTTTGAACCCGGCCATCGGAAGATCATTTTCAATACCTAACATGAATGGTGCACTCTTTAAGTTTTCTTGTACTGTCCTCTGATAATATCTTGCTCCTATCTTGGTTCAAAATCCACTAGGAGCTATGGGATGAGGGATTTCAACTTTGAAGAAGTGATACACGAACAATATATTCAACTCTTTGATATAGATACATCAATATCTGGTACATCAGAGTTCCACAAAGTGACTATATGTCTCCACAAAATTATTATAAGAGTTCGTATAAGAAGATGATCTAAAGAATTCTTGGTTGAACAGGGATGTGAAATCTGTTTGAGTCAGTCAATTCAGGAAGTTGCTGCTGTTTCATCATCAGATGATCGACCATGATCTCCATGCATGGTGGCTATTGTGATCTCTGCTACATCATTCCATCACAAACAATAACCAGAGAAATGAATTTCATTACCTGCGAGTTTTTCGTTTCTTCTTGCATGGTTCTAAATTGGAATAAGACTCTTTTTGATACTCGCTCAGTTCAAAAATTGTGGGTTCGGCTCGTTCTCTCAATACAATCCTATTCTTCAACATCAAATCTTCCTTCCTGAAGTGTACCTGATGAAAATGCGTTTAAAATATTCTATATCCTACGAAGAAATTTTAATACCTCGCAAATATTGTGGCCTGAACCTATATTCCATGCCAGCCGCATCATATATTATTCTGTTTCCATTTTTGTAGAATCACGTTATCCGATGGAAATTCGGAAGGAGTGAATAGATTTCCCGTATTCTCACAGTTGGGGACTGCACAAACTTGCATCTTCCTCCTAATTCTCTCAATTTGTCAAACCTTCGAAATTTATGTCATGTACGTCCATGTACTGTCAGTTCCCGCTTTTTCCATCAATTTATTTGTGGTTATACCTGATTGTCAGTGCTTGTCATAGTGTCCGTACTCTTAGGAACTCTATTATATGTATAGGGAAGAGTGGGAATACCTGAGACAGCAACACCTACCGGACATCCTGGACAACGCCACCGAGCTGCAACGGACGTTCCTGGAACTAGTCACCAGTGCCGCCAAACGGCTGTTCAACTACATGGACATTGGCAACGAGGACGCGGGCAATCACCGATTGTACGAGACGGAAGTCGTCGATCTCACTGATGACGTCAGCTTCATCGTCATCTGCCCGCCTGCGGAATTCTCCTGCTCGGTGCCAGGACAGAGGGAGATGCTTCTGCAGCGCATCGACTTACTCAGTTTACCCCTGCAGGTATGTGTTCTGGAATTTCGGCATGTTCAGCAATTTTCTTTTACTTGATATCCCTTCAGAAAACATATTGATGCGCACCTGTACTATAGAAATCTCGTTTCGGTCAACATTGCTACTCTAGGATTTCGATTTGTACTAGACAGTAGACGGTCTTACGGAATCCCACCAAATTACAGTTGTATTCAATAAAAAAGCGGACATGTCCCTATTCAACAGTGAGGTTAAACATCATATCCTGGTTCAAGTTGTGTAAAACTGCTGGCGAGCAGTGTTATTGACTGTATCTTTGGAATCTTTCTTATTGCTGCAAGTTACCGAATCCTACATCATTAATCACGTTAGAAACGTGAACAATGACACGAAATATTTTTCAGAACTGACAATTTTCCAGGAAGAATTCAAAAAGATAGTGAATTAGACGTCCTGATTCCGAATCCAATAGTTATTTATTATACAAGGAAAAAAAGTTGTACATTTTAGCTCCAAAAAACCGTGAGCTAAAATCTAATATTTTTCCCGTGTATAATACACTATTTTCTGTGACAGAAGAAAGGACGAATCAATATTGAGAAAATGTTACATTATTTTGAAATCTGAAAATTAACGACGTGAAATTTTAAGTTTTTAACAGTAGGGACACCTGCGTGCTAATGCTAATTGGATGTATGAAAACTTTTTTACTGTGACGATCAATGAATCTGTTGATTTTATTCTAATAAAAAAGTTTTTTTATTTTCTAAATATCAAAAGCCCCTGTGCTGCACGATTCTGAATTTGTCAACATCATGCGCTAATTGAGGGTATGACACCTCTTCAACTGTAACGATCAATAAAACTGTTGAATTTTTCCAATAAAAACGAATTTTTCGTTTCTAAATATCATAAACCCCTTTTTGCGCGCCACTGGTGTCAATTATCTTCAGTAGGAATATCCCTTATTGCAGTTCAGATGTTAGCTGTTATTGTTCAACTAAGAAAGGCCACATTTTGAAATAAAAATGGAATTTCATAAAATGGCGATTTTTCCATAGCAACGCAATTTATCAAATGAATTTCAAAGACGTCCCGAGGTATCGGACCAACCGTTCACCCAACATCTGAAAAAAAATTCGAGGGTCCCTCACATTTCCCAAATTATTGGTCAGAAATTTGAAATTTTTCCGGCTCTTAATTCACACTCTGTACAAAGAGAACGAATAGCAAAAATAAAAACCCGACGCCAATGACGCATAGCACAAGGATGACGCTTTCTACCTTTGGTTGAAAATCCAACATCGGCCAAGAAATGTACGAGTTATAGGTTATCAAAATTAGTCAATATTTTGGTTGTCCCACTTCATCTGGTAAGTAGTTTATATCCGGGAAAAAAGTACTCACTTTTTTCCCACGGGAAGAAAGTAATTTATGAAAAGTGACATTTTATAACCTGCCAATAGAGATGAAAAGCCAAACTTTTTTCCCGTTACAGAAAAAAGAAATCGAATCGATTTTTATCCTGTACGACCCCCTGGGCACATGAAAAGGGTCTCGCTGATGACGATGATTCACTCAACAAAATATAATACGCTGTTTCTATTTTTCATCAAAATTTGTCTTTTTGCTACTATCTTAGAAAAATAACCCACACAACACATTCATATCCAATGTACGTACAATGTACATCCACTCCGGATCGTGAGGACGTCCAATGGACGTACTTGAATTGTCGTTTAGTGTCCAGTAGACGTCCTCTGGATGACCTGAGGACACCACTTTGGACGTTCAGAAAATTTCCATATTTGGACGTACAATGGATGCTCATCTTTGTAGTTACAATGGATGTCGATATCTGAGCATCCATTGGAATAACAAATTAGACGTTAAACGTCCAATGGAAGTTCATTGGATGTCCTGAGGACACCACTTTGGACATACAGCTAGTGGATGTTTATACGTGGACGTATAATGGATGATCATCTTTGAAGATCAGATAATGCAAAACCATTATGTATGTACTTTTATTGTTCATTGCATAAATATAAATATATTGTTCAATCATTTCTGTTTTTTCAGTCCACTTCGTATTCTTATTGTTTCTGTAAAAAAAGAGAAATTCATGAGTTGTTCTATAAGTATTCCTTAATTATTATTAAAAACAAACTTGCATTGCCAGGAATTTCTTCTATCAAGCCGCCTATTAAAAGCTATTAGCTATATAAAGACACATCGAATTGAATGATCTGATCCTAAATATTCTGCTTTCCATAATTCATCACAAACACAACAAATTATGTATGTATTTCCGAGCTCGTCTCGTTCACTGACCCTTTGCCCTTTGTATACCGACCGATCTGATCTTCACGCCAATCTCTGAACGTACGATGGACGTTAATTTAACGTCCATAAACCTTCAGACTTAAAATAATGATCTCAGAATGATAATGAGTTTGAAGAATTCTTCATATACTCATTCATTCTTCATCCATGAATATTCGAACTTAGAATTGCCGTCAAATGGACATCCAATGGAAGTTCAATTTGTATCATTCTATATACGTCCGTCTTTCTACGTACAATGGATGGTGATCAAACGTCAATGGGAGTTAGAGGTCCTTGAGTTGACGTGGAATGAATGTCCAACGGATGTTAATTTTGGAACATACATTGTACGTCCATCTTCAGGAGTACAATGAATGTAAGTACATTCTACGTACATGGATGGTTGGACATTAGATGGTAGTCCACTATACATACAATTTGAAGCATCCAATGGTCATCTATGATCGTACGTACATTGGGTGTCCATTCAATGTCCATGGACGTTTAGAATTGAAATGGACCTGAAGTAGACGTCCAATGGACGTCATGTGCTGTGTGAAACTGGATGTCTCTGTTGACGTTAGCTTAAATATGGTAACATGTCTTGTGTCAATTCTGTCCAATTTCAGACATCATGCATTTTTTTTCTATCCACAAAAATGTTCAAGAAATTTGTAAAGATATTTTTCTATTCTTTGAAGTTTTAAGTCATTGCTTCATGTATTAAAATTCAATATTATCAATATACACACCCACATTGAAAGTTAAATCAATTGATCGAAACAGATAATCAAAAAATACTCCATACATTGTTGAAACATGTTCATATTCCATTTATTGACATACGTCCCGATTTCAATCGTTGTTTCCTCTTTCGAGATTCCCAGAAAAATATTCAGGTACAGCCATGAGTTATCTTCATTTCCTTCTGGATGATGTCGATACCAAAAAGTACTCCCCTAACAACACGAGTACGTCCCAGGGACATCCCAGGGACGTCCTTAATTTTCTACGAGGACGTCCCTGGGATATCCTTTGTCGGGACATGGTACATACTAGGGACGTCCCAGGGACATCCGCTTTCCACAAAAAGATGCATCCTAGGGACGTCCTTCTGGTACGTCCCTGGGATGTACCAAGTTCGAAGAAAGGATATCCCTAGGACGTCCCAAGGATATCCCAGGGACATTCCTCCGACAAAAGAAAAAACATGTAGGTCGAGCACGGATTGAACACGGGACCATTGGCTTATCAGGCACGTATCTTACTCCATTGGCTATTGAGCCTCCTGAAGATGTATGTACTAAACAGATTTATAAACAGGACTTAACTACAGAAACCTGAATAAATACAACTTTGTTAGGATTTGGGTATAATTATTATATCATTCTTGGGTGTTTAAAAATGAGGGGCATTATGCATGTACGATAACTGTTTGCGAAAAATGGTAATTTCTTATGAAGTTCTGGAACTTTATTCTTTATTTTCATTACGATTATTTTCCGGAAGAAAAACAAACATTTTCAAAAAAATGCAACTTAATACTTTGATGAAATTCAATGACTCTGATGTGACTGGATATCAGATATTCCAGGGACACGAATAGGATAACCTAGGGATGTACCGGCGGGATGTCTACTGGACAACCACTGCGCGACATCCCCTGGATGCCCCAATCATGTCCTTGTACCGCGGGACAAAAAAGGGACGTACCTAGGACATCCCTGTGTTGTTAGGGTCAATTTTCGAATTCATCAGAAATTGCAGTCTCTCAATCTCCAACACACGTAAATCATCTCATGACCTTAACTATTGTAGGTTCTTCCTGAACAAAGGTCTCACCATACCCATCATCCTGCTGTTTCTAGGTCTTCGAAATGATCCACCTGAGTACCTATCAGAACAACATAGTGAGAAAATACGCGAAGCTGAGCTGCTTGCTGGAGCTAGACGCAGCCACAGCCAGCCACTTGCACAGAGAGGCGTTCTCCAACAGCGAGGTGGCCATTGCCAAAGAAAGACTGACGAAGCTCCAAGAACTCCAATCCAAGCTGAACAACATCTGGAAGAGCATCAGATGGCTGATGGACGTCATCACCTTCGCTAGAGATCGCGTTATCTGTGGCGTGAGTATGAGGTAAAATTTAATTACTAAATGATGAAGTTATTGAAATAATTCAAGAAAACATGTCCTGACTGTTAAAGTCTATCAACAAAAGATATATTTGAATTCTAAAATATTCTGGCCGAACGTGGATGATAGTACTCTCCATACCGCCTTCTCATCCAGGGCTCCAATACCAGACAGGCAAATCAGTAAAGAACGATAGAGAAATGTAGACAACATAAAATGAATATGGAACAATTCTCGAATGGGGATCCAAAAACTTGGTAGATTTCAATGCAAACAAAACACAAGCATGCCTTTTCTCTAGAAAAACTGATCTCACTGTGCCCAACATAAGCTTGTCAGGAGTAACCATACCTTTGGGACATCCATTTCGATGCTTGGTATTACTATCATCAACAACCTTTCTTGGGAAAATCACGTGAGATCAATTCCTAAAAGTGCATCCCAAAAACTTGGTTTTCTGTTTCGGGTAGGAGCTATTTCACTTCCAGTCAGCTGCTTATTATGATCTATAAGGCACAGATCCGACCTGTCCTGGAATACTGTTCCCATATTTGGAGTGCAGCATCCAAACATACCCTGAAACTGTTGGATTCTGTCCAAAAGAGGACAATTCGTCTCGTGGGTGATGCCTCGCTCACAAACTCACTCACTTCTCTGGAACACCGTAGAAAAGTTGGCGATCTGGCTCTATTTCAAAGATATTCTCATGGACGATGCTCTTCTGGAATATCAACAATTGTTCCTCCCTTGGCAGTACCCGCGAGATTAACCCGTCGAGTTGACGATTCGCACCCCTTCGCGGTCACTTTGGAGACCTGCAGAACATCTCTCTTCAAAGACTCGTTCATCCAACGAACAGCGAGGCTCTGGAACACATTGCCAAGGGTGGTGTTCCCTGAGGGATATAACCTACAGAAATTTAAGAAGAACACCAATTCTCACCTTATTTCCCTTGGTTCTCACGATATTCTCAGAACATTACAGGATATCCCTTTTCGTGAGAACAAGAGCATAAAAAAAACAAAACAATTTAGTTTTGAGAACTTCTCTCCACCCTGTATCCCAAACGTTCATATGAAATTTTCTTCTTAAAATGGGCCCAAGTATCGCGTACTCAAATATTGACATTCAATTAGGAAACACCATGTGACCTCTTATGTGAATTATCCCATGCAATGTCATGAAGTTCCTCGTATTATTTGTAAAAGTCATTCTGTTCCTACCACCGCTACCAGAATGAGAAAAATAAATAGTTATTCATTATACAAGGGAAAAAGTTGTAGATCTTAGCTCCAGAGGTTGTGCTGTCTCCCGACTCGTAGCGGAGGGATACAAAAAACCGTGAGCTTAAATCTAATATTTTTCCCGTGTATAATACACAATTTTTTTCTGTGACAGAAGAAAGGACGAATCAATATTGAGAAGATATTACATTACTTTGAAATGAAATTTCAAGTTTATAACAGTAGGGACACTTGCGTTGTAGGCATCTTTATCATTCTTTTGAAGTAATGAAATATCTGATGTCACTTCTGTCGGTCAAATTCTGTGATTTGATTTAAAAAAATTTCGCATTTAGTGGTTGTTTAATAATATACGTAACCGCGAATTCGAATGGAAGATGAAAGGACTTGCAGTTCTTTCTCGGAGACGGTATTATTGTCTCATTTTTCGGAACTATAGCACAACAAACGCCATCAACAGTGTATATATATATGTGATATATATACACAAGAACTCACTTTTTTTTCCACAGGAAAAAAGTAATTTATGAAAAGTGACATTTTATAACCTGCCAACAGAGATGAAATGCCAAACTTTTTTCCCGTCACAGAAAAAACGCAACTAATAATATGTCTGGTGCACTCGTCTAATGAAGGGGTACAAAAAATGACATTCCATCTCTCATAAAACATATTTGTGTCTTATGTTTTTTCTACAGCTGTTTAACAATATGACAGGTGTGTCCGCTCTTTTTGAAAAGGACGAAAAATGAGATGTTCGAGGAACTCTAGTAACATCATGTATCTGTTTCAAAAATTATCAAGTGTTCTTCAACTCAATTTCGAATTGTCGTCAAGGAACACAAGGTATTCCCATGAGCTGAAGATGACTGGACTGTTGCAGGTATATCCTAGAGAAGGAGATAGGCATGTGCTGTAGCCCCAAAAGGAGCCTACTGCAGCTGCCCCCGCGTGACCCCAAACTAGCCAAAAGCACCCCTGGCAGAGGCTCGTGGCCCGGTCCTGGTGGCACCAACTCCACCAACCTCATCAGCGAGTTCAGCAAGAGCGAGCAACACCTCAGCACCAACGACACCACCCAATACCTCAGCGCTTGCAGCGACCTCGAGTCCCGCAAAAACAGCGACAGCTTCAACAGCGACTACGTCTGCCAAGACTTAGCACCCTCGAGAAGCGAAGACATGCTCTTCAATTTGCCCATAGGGGCTGGTCAGCATCAGAGCTCGAGGAGCAACAACAGCATCTCAGCTGGTACTAGTCCCTTGCTTGGTACCAGACCCCTGCATTCCGGCAGCATGGTGAGCGTTACCACCTTGAATACCACCAATACCTCGGACAGCATGCACAGCTTGAGCTCAGACGGAGACTGCGTTCTACAACCTGTGGACACCTCCACTCCCAACAAGAGCGGGAAACCTAGGATGGCTCCTTCCAAAAGCATGACGAACGTCAAGGAAAACATCCCAGTGAAGGTGATAATAATAATAATAATAATGTTTTTCCATTGCTATAGCTATAAGACCTACTATGCATTATTAACTCCTTTTCGAGGCGTGAAGTGTGTTTTTACTACTTAGGTAGTTCATGTCATTTCATGAACCCCTAGTCAATATAAAGACATAGCCACCTCTGTTGTAATTAACCTGGCACTCGAATCTATAGTAGGTATTTAACATCAACGACTTTGTCATATACTGTCATGGTCATGGCTTCTAGATTTTGATTGGAATTGAAAAGAAGTGCTTACATAGATATACTGAACTTTATTATAACTAGAAAAACTGTTATCATTTACCTTTCTCCATGATTTTCATCACAATATATACACTGTGTCCATAAAGTCACCCCCCCCCCCTGGTTAACTATTGAACGGATGGGATTTTTTTTTCAATTTTTTTTTGCTTCAATGGTAGTTTCAGTGTTACATATTGTTCCAATAAAAAAATATGTATCCTCGAAAATGGCGCCTGGGCGCCATTTTGGAAGATTTTTTTAAATGGAGTCGGGGGTCGAAAGATACCTCGATTGAAAGGTCTTTCGATCCTCTATACAACCTCAGAATCTCAGACGAAAATATTCATCCAAAACAAAATGGCGGATGATAACGTTTGAAATCTCACACCAGAATTCTTTCGACTAGATGGCTATTAAAGTGCTCGCATGTGATCTTCAAATCTCTATTGGCGAATAGAAGAGTTCTCTATCTATGAAGATATCAATAGAAAGCCATTTTGAAGAGAATAACATGGTAGTCAATTATTACCTTTGCTCGATTGTCTTTCCAAATTCTGCAAAGTTTTAGAAATATTTATTCAAAATAAAGAACAATGTTTATTCCACGTGACTACCATGTTATTCTCTTCAAAATGGCTTCCTATTGATATCTTCATAGATAGAGAACTCTTCTATACGCCAATAGAGATTTGAAGATCACATGCGAGCACTTTGATAGCCATCTAGTCGAAAGAATTCTGGTGTGAGATTTCAAACGTTATCATCCGCCATTTTGTTTTGGATGAATATTTTCGTCTGAGATTCTGAGGTTGTATAGAGAATCGAAAGACCTTTCAATCGAGGTATCTTTCGACCCCCCACTCCATTTAAAAAAATCTTCCAAAATGGCGCCCAGGAGCCATTTTGAGGGACACATATTTTTTTTTTGGAACAATATGTAGCACTGGAACTACCATTGAAACAGGAAAAAATTGAAAAAAAAAAATCCCATCCGTTCTAAAGTTAACCAGGGGGGGGGGGGTGACTTTATGGACACAGTGTATATACGCATTTCACATTTTCATATGTAACCTTCCTATAGCTATACAGAGTAAATGTGTATTCCATCATTTCTAATATAGGATGAGGTCCAGTGGGTATAGGTTAGTTCAGAGCTCACATTTTGTTATAGAAATGTAGGTACCTATCCAGATTCCATGTAAACAATGGAGTACTTGAGGAAATTGATATCTTCCGATGGAAGCTTTCGTGAATGCACATGAATCAAACTATTTGGGCTAGCTTGGTCACTGATGTACTTGTAAGCTTTAGTGATTTGTTTTTCTGTATTGTATGATCTAACCTCAAAATTCAGATAATATATTACTGAGTTATTCAATCCAAGAGAGGAAAAAGGAAGAATAACACTTCCAGATAGCTTCACTGAGGAAGATGATGATAATATCTGACTGACGCCATATATTGAAGCTAAGAGGTGGCTAGTCAATTATATAACAACTTTAATTGAAGCCATAGAAAGTCTGATATACTATGTGTGCTGATACTTGATAAACAATAAAAGTTATATGATATTGATGGTAACTCAACTCACACTTGATTGTTTTGACTTTGACTCAAATTCACACTTTGTGAGACACAAGAAACGATACAAACATCATAACAACTTTAATTGAAGCCATAGAAAGTCTGATATACTATGTGTGCTGATACTTGATAAAAAATAAAAGTTATATGATATTGATGGTAACTCAACTCACACTTGATTGTTTTGACTTTGACTCAAATTCACACTTTGTGAGACACGAGAAACGATACAAACATCATAACAACTTTAATTGAAGCCATAGAAAGTCTGATATACTATGTGTGCTAATACTTGATAAAAAATAAAAGTTATATGATATTGATGGTAACTCAACTCACACTTGATTGTTTTGACTTTGACTCAAATTCACACTTTGTGAGACACAAGACACGATACAAACATCCACTATCACCATCATCCTGCATCATCAAACCGGTCGAACAAATCACGCAAAATGGCGAATATTAGTCATGAGAATCAATAACGTTTATGGTTTGAATCAAGTTCGTGATAATACTGTTACGAAAAATGATGAAAAGCACGTCACATAAAACGTTATTGGAATGAAAGAATAGTCTGAAAGAGACATTGCAATATTGACTAGAAAAAGATCGCATAGACGTTCACAAGTGAGTTTACTGTAACGAAACAGCGACGTTCATCTGGAGATGTAGCTGAGTCAGCCCAAATAAGGAACAAATTGAAACGTCTCACAAATATGTCATCATCACTTCAAAGAGATGATATCTCGAAAAGGTCACCAAAGGTACAAGAAATTAACGTTAACAAACCTCCCCGGGATGTTCCTTGCTCAGTGGGTAGTGACAATAGGTCTATATTTCAAGAACTAAAATGATTGAAATAAAAACGTATTATTTGTGGTGGAAAAAAAGTGATATACACCTTGGTAGTAAAATACATCATTACCACAGGACCCTATACCCCTCGGCTGAAGCCTAGGGATATAATCTTGCTTCCTGGGTAATACTGATATTATTCTCTACCTTTCCACACAACACCGGATGGACGTCCAAATCACGTCAGAATATCATGGACGAATTTTGGATATCCATAGAATATCCAAAATTCACCCAGTGGGATATAGTCAAAGTGTGAATTTTGGAATAATATATTAATCAAATTGATGGGAATTTATCTTTATGTGTAATTAATCATATTATACTAGGGAAGACATGAAATATTGCTTATGAAATTGATCAATATGTTCAATTGTTGTATAAATAAATATTATTATTATATTCAGTTTTGGTTACTATATGTCTCGATACCAATCGATTTTAAGTTATTTGCAAGTATTGCGTGGTCAACTGTATCGAAGGCTTTCATTAGAACTATGATAACAGCTGCCACAATAATACATAATTACCTTCATCGAGTCTTTCTCTAATTGAATAAATAACTTCTGAAACTGCTGCTTGCGTACCACTATTTTTCTTGGAAACCGAATGGATTCAGTTCAATTTTATGGACAAAATCAACTACCCCCATTTTTCAAAATTTTTGAGAATATTTTTGAGTAAATACTCAATCAGGCTATTGGTCTGTTATTCTCAGTTTCTTGACCATGTTATGAATAGGTCTCATTGATGTATGTTTCAGGTAAAATCTAAGTATCTGAACGTCGGCTACCCCATGGGACATTCCAAGCTAGAACCCTCGCTGTCCAAGAGCCTGACCAACATCAGGTCAATGATCGAAGTGGAGCCAGCTCCAAAGCCCCAAATTGATGCCAAGCCGCACTCCAGCCCACAAAGCGGCATCTTGCAAGTCTTTGCTGCTTACGAAACCGGCTTGGCGAATGGAACAAGCTTGAAGCTGCACGTAACCCCAAGAACGACAGCTAGGGAAGTGGTGGATCTTGTGGTGAAGCAGCTCAATATGGCTGTGCTGCTGAAAGGGAAAGACGGTCCCATTTACGGTGCCGAGAAGCTGAAGAACTTCTGCTTGGTGGCTGTTATAGGGGCGCGAGAGAGGTGCCTGAGGGACGATTTCAAGCCGCTGCAGCTGCAGAACCCTTGGAAGAAGGGCAGGCTGTACGTGAGGCAGAAAGGGGAGGTTTTGGCTGCTTTGGAGCATAGCAGCCGACACAGCACTATAATCTGAGGTGTGGAAGGGTGTTGCCTACAATTGACAACGAAAACTATGGAAGAACAGGGTGCTTAAGTTGTAACTGGATGGTCCAATAGATGGATTTTGCTGACGAAAAACTTGCTCTCTCGTTATACAGGGTGAGTCAGTTTTTATAGCAGGACTTCAACAGCTTGAAGAGTAGAGATTTTCAAGATGGAAAGTTTATGTGTGGGAGCTTCAATTCTGATATAGAGGGAGTCAAAGTTTGGGATGTTTTCAATGTTCTTCTAGTTTTTTCCTACAACTTTCAAAATAATGAATTTTGTATATGCGTATTACACTGAAAAAAAAGTGAATATTTAGGGCTATTAAGCGATGCGATTCCAATTACCAAAAGGATGATACACTTATGGGGGTTGTACCCAATTTAACCTTCTTTAACTTTTCTGCGTGCTGTCTCTGGATTCAATGAAACTTCAAATCAGATCATCTGTGTAATTTGGAAACGTTTCATTACCCTAGATGTTTTTCAAAAAGCTGTATGGATTTCGAGATAAATGCCAAATTTAATTTTTTCTTGTTCTCGAGGACCAATCAGAATCGACCATTTTTACGGTTTCTTCTGTATTACAGCGATATTTTTTGTTAACTAAATTTTTTCGGATGAGCTCTACCAATATAGACGCCGAAGTGACTCACACGTGATCAACCAACCTCGTTTTGCAGCGATAAAATTCTGGGAGTCAGAATGGTGGATGCAGTATTCGCAACTCTCGCGAGGCGCTCGTTTATTACCTCAATCATGACATACTCCAGCTTGCTGCTTCAATTTCGCTCATGACATTGTTATGTCGTAAAAATCGCCGAATATTTCCAGCAAAATAGTTTCACTTGTGGTATCACATATGACTATACTTCACTCTAACCAGGCAACCAGAAGACGTTTCAGTGACGTCTTTTTACGTAAGTTGGATGACCAAGGTGATGTCAGGAGTTGACGTCGTATGACGTGATAAATTACGTCAATAAGTCACAGCCCAATGACTTCATATTACTCACGTTTATTGACCTCATTCACTCACCAAACTGTGACGTCAGACTGACGTCGAAATAACGTCAAAGTGACGTTCAAATTTGGTGATGACACGTGAAAAAGTTTCCTCGAACATGGCGTGATAATCACCGCTAACCTCTGATGTCATATAATATTGATCATGCATTGTTGAGTCTGCTTGGGGTCCCTCCGGTGTTATGTCCATTCAATCGCCTATTTAGCAGCGCTATCCCTTAGTACGCATCTCCATCAGAATGAAATCAGTTACTCGTATTTGTATCAGAAATTATGTAGTTTGTGTCGGCGAGGTGTAAGAAAACTTTGTGGTCGAACGACTTTGTATTATTTTGATTTTGATTTGAAAAAATCTGGACCAAATTGGAATGTCACACGTGATTTTTAGACGTTATAGATACGTCACTGAAACGTCATAAAACTGACGGTTCCAATATGGGTACACCTATATAATCATTTGTATATATATACATATTTAGCTTGATTGGTTTCCGAGTGTCAAGGTTCAAGAAGTTTTCTCTAACTTTTTGGGTATATATAATTCCAATAAAACTTGCATGTTGATTTGTTTCAATGAGTTCTACTTCTATCGACGTTAGAAGCACATATATAAAATTACCAAGTCGTACATCGACGTCGACAGGACGTCCCTGTAACGTCATGAAACTGGCGTATCATTTCACCCTTCTAAGTGACATTCACTCGACGTCGAGATAATGACGTGATTATCACGTCATAGAAAGTACGTGATAGTGACGTAATAAATTGGTGTGTAACGTCTATGGCGAAAAATCATCAATTATGGACGTCATAGTGACGTGATCATTCGTCATCTGGTTGCCTCGGTATTTGGCATTTATTAATAATTGACAAGAGTACTTGGAAAGATCGAAAGCATTTATAAGATTTGTGTTTATGAAAATCAGTTGCAAAACTTGAGAAAAACTAGAAAAATATATTAAAATATCACACCACCTGTCCCTTCAATTTGGTGTAATCCTGCTACAGAAAACTGACTTACCTGTATATTATTATAGCTTTCAACTCTTCATTCTTCTCTTGTGTATATGATATTCATATACTTTTAACTGGAAGACTGAATAATTATGGATTTGCTGCACTATACTGCAATTTTAACGTGGAATGAGAAATAAAAGCCAATCATTGGATGGTTGTCTGAATGATTTCAAAATTGAAAATCATCAATCGTCGACAGAATTTCTTGGCTAACACCAAAATACTAATTGATTAAGGATAATTTTTGAAAAGGTAGGTAACTCTGCTGTTGCTTAAGCTTTATTAGAATTATTTGAAGACGGGTGTTGAAATTTGGCCGACGATTTGGTTTTGAGAAAATAAAAATCTTTAGTTTGGAATCTAGATTTTTATATACTATTAAGTTTAGTATACGTATGTAAATATGAAATGAGGCAATATACTCGTATATGTTTGAAATATGTGGGGAACTCCAATGTTTTGTCGTTCGTGAAATCGAATTGAAAATACAAGTTCAACAACAATAAAAATAACTTAAAAATACACCAACATTAACACTCATCAAATGATAATCACACTAAAGTAGAGGTCATGTGGAAATAATGACAGCTGAATCAATGAAAAATGGAAAACAATTCTTGATATTGATGTCAGCGGGATGAAACACCCTGTATATCAATGATCACAAGCGCCTACTCACAAAAGTAGTTGAGAAAAGGCATCAGTAATACCTCATTTTTCATAATACGAATATCTTCCCAAGCGCTACAATAATAATATGTATTATCATTCTTCAGTATACTTCCAGTTTATAATAACGAAATACTATATTGTTAAACGAGCACGGAATGATAGTCATTTCCCTACGGCTCCTGCTGCAAATCATACGAGTGGAAAATTAGCATTTTGTGCGAGGTATATACACTATACTCTCACTACGGCTGTAACAGAAAATAGAAAAAAATGTGATTTCTTCAATGGTCATCTATTAGACAGAGCTGTCATTGTTTGGAATTTGACATTTTCTGGGAGATGACATTTATTTTGGAATGATAACACAATGAAGTCATTGTGCTATCAGATAAGGGAATGGAATTGAATACAGTCAATGTACGTACGTCAATAATTTATCGAAAACAGTAAAACAAGAACAATTTTGTGTTTCAGCCGTGGAAAAAATTATATCTTCCAGCTTTTAATATATTTGATGGGTGTTTGGCAACATTGGGTTCCTCCCAGATTTCTCGTTCTGCTCATACACAAAAAAAATTAAAAGACGATCTGACATCTCTATGAAATCATTTACTGATTTCATGTAACAGAATCAAACGCTATCGAATTTCTTGCAACATTTTTTCCATCGATCTATAATACTGTGAGCACTGAGGAATATATTCATAGAAACAATGTCGTAATTGGGTAAAACCCCATGGATAGAGATGAAGCATTCAAGTGCTGATTGTCTTCAAAATGAGAAGAAAGAAATCGTGAAATTCAATAAACTACTAGGGTCAGATCAAGAGATTTGAAATTATCAAACTATGACTCATACTCACGTCTCAACATTTTTGTGTAATGTTCAGATAATGAATAAATACAGCGTGTCTCATCTCAGACAGCCCCCCTCTATCCATCAGTATGATCAGTTTCTCAGAGACGAACAGAATTTCAGACAGTGCCATGGGTTTTTATATAAAAATAAAAAGGGGTAATTTTTTTATGAAATCATATTAGGAATTTTTTACAGGAAAATCGACCTCATAAAATTGTTCTTCATGGTTTCAAACCCCCATATGTGAATTTTCACATAATTTCTATCGATGTTTCCATAAAAACAGGCACATCTGAACAGTGAACGTAATAATTATATACTCGAAAACAGTAAGTTCAACATCTTTTTTTTTTTTTTAATCATAATTTTCTACCTACCAGAGCCATTGAACGTCCCAAAATTCTCAAATAACTTGAATTCACTATTTTTTTCGATGATAAAAATGAAAAATATTAAGAATTAGGTGATTTTTTTGCATATGGCGGTTCAAAAGCATGAGGAACAATATACAAAGTGGGCCTTTGAAAACGAAACAGAGGCTCTGTAGGTCGCCAAAACCGGATTATGAAAAGAATCTGAAACACGTCAACTACGTTTTCGAGGAGGACATCGTCCTACAATATTTTCAGCCCTGCGGCGTTGCCGCTGCTAACGAAAAGAAGCAACAACTTTGTTATTTCAAATGGAACACCTTGTATTTCATTGCATTTTTAGATTCTCCCCGAAGAGCTGATTTCATCAATGCATCACACTTGGGGTCTAGCTGTAATGGTTTCAGGGATATAAAGTGTTCAAAATCGAGATTTTTCAACTTTGACATTTTTTTGTGTCGAAACTATTCATTATTGGTCGAAACGGCTCTCATGTCCCTATCTCAACTTGTGATTTACTATCTACTGACATTTAATTGGAACAGATACAGGGTGATCAGAATTCTGAATCTTGAACCACCCTGTATTTGTTTCAAATAAATGTCAGTAGATAGTAAATCACAAGTTGAGATCGGGACATGAGAGCCGTTTTGACCAATAATGAATAGTTTCGACACAAAAAAATGTTAAAGTTGAAAAATCTCGATTTTGAACTCTTTATATCCCTGAAACCATTACAGCTAGACCCTAAGTGTGATGCATTGATGAAATCAGCTCTTTGAGGAGAATCTAAAAATGCAATAAAATACAAGGTGTTCCATTTGAAATAACAAAGTTGTTGCTTCTTTTCTTTAGAAGCGGCAACGCCGCAGGGCTGAAAATATTTTAGAAAGATGTTCCCCTCGGAAATGTAGTTGACCTGTTTCAGTTTTTTTTGATAATCCGGTTTTGGCGACCTACAGAGCCTCTGTTTCGTTTTCAAAGGCCCACTCTGTATAATATCAATCAATCAACTTTATTATTCCCAAGTGACAACATTTGTTTATAGCAGGGAACATGGGAATATATAAATATATTTGACAAAATAAAGAAGACAGTCAAATAAGACTCACACTCAAGAAGAAATATATTATTTTTTGAAGTTTAACTGAAAATGATTTTTAATTGACTCAGCTGTTAGGTACCCAATTGAAAACTATTGTAGTTGTACGAGGAAACAATGAAGATGACATAAGATGTCAATATTACAGGATTAGATGTTTCTTGAATTCCTTTTTGAATTTTTCAATCCTATCAATTAGTTTCAAGTTATTTGGCAGTGAATTGTTTTGTATCTCTGGAACACATTGCCAAGG